TTAATGGCCATCTTTGAAAATTGGGTTATAAATCACTTACTCAAAAAACCTTGCTGGGATGTATAGCTTTTGAGATGTAAGCTGAGGCTTAAAGACTGGTTTAGTTAYGGTAAGACAGCCAGTGGAAGGCTAAGGGTGACAAGGTGAGTTCTTCCAGTGAAACCTCTGACAAGCAAAAAAGCCAATATTGTTATTAATTAATTTACAGCAGCAATCTTAGAGCTCTAAACAAAATCATGGCTCCGTTACCCAAGATTTTGTACAAACATTATAAAGGATATGAACTTATAAGCCAAATACACAAAATAGACAAGAAATAAATAGGGAGGGTGAAGGAAATACTGTTATTCCCATTTCATAGTGTGAGGCCTGAAACAGATAGAGGTACCAGACTTTTCATCTCTTCAGCTGCCTTTATTTCCTCACTCATGTAGCAAAGGATATAGAGGACACTTGCTAATCCTGACCCTTATGTGACAGCCCTGTGATGTCATGTTCCATCAGGGACACTTTCCATGTCATACACTCAGATAAGGAGAAGATTGCTACTTGCAATCGAAGATATTTCTCTTTCCCAAGCCAGATGTTTTGTTCATTAAAGCGTTAGCTGCATTAAATAATACAGATATAAATAACTGCTTCTAGGGGCTTCAACAAGATAGAATCAATTACATGCTCTCAGAAGGAGTTTTCCAATAAAAGCAGTCCTGGCTYCTCAGCTGGAGCACAACTAACACGTGTGAGTCCATGGTAGTTGCAAACTGGACAAGGTAGGACTGCAAGCAAGATTGAACTTGCATGAGCCAGGCTCTGCTCTGCAAGTGCAGAAAGCCTATATAGGCCCAGAAGAACCATTTCACTAATTAGAATTTGGATTTCAGGGAAATGTCTCTATTTACAGATTTCCTGGCMCTTAAAAAGAGGAAGGGCTGAGAATCACCCTTGTAAGTACAAACATCCACAACTCCCCTCTGTGTGCCTAGATCCTCACAACGATGTGAGGTTTTATGTTTTTTGTGACTTCACTGTAGAAAGCAGAGATTTTATCCTACACTTTTGAGTGTGGTGATTTGAAGTCGGGGAATTAACAGTTAACAATGCCTGAATAGTGATTCACTACTCAGTATTCCTATGGATTGGGTGTGCATTTCTTACTCCTGGTTCCCCTGACAATTTGGGATTTATCTTTTGATCATTTTAATTTCAAACCACGTAAGAAAAGATGTTATCAACTGCTTTGTATTCAGTGACAAATTCCTTCTCTTATTACCAAACACATTGTGACTCTTGGTGAAAAAATGATGCACTTGATAGCACACGGGGATTGAAATCTCGTCCACTGAGAAGGGTGTTTGTGCAGATTAATGCACAGTTCCCAGAAATTCTTAGGCCTAATTGCTGAAGTCACAAGCTTCCCTTCCTGATTTTGAGCACAGCAACTTGAAGCATTCTCTGAATTTTGGCTTTGATCCAGCTCTTACTTAAAAACAAGAAAAACCACCATGGCACATACCCGACCACACCCCAATCCCCCACCCAAAAAAAACCCAAAAGGTCAATACAGAGAAGCTATCAGGGTTTTGATTTTCATCCTTATCTAGAGCATTTGGACCTCAGATATTACTAAAGCCWATCTAAATACACAAAGTAAACTTTGCTGCACTACAGAACTGATTAAAAACTCTTTGTCTTGATGGAAGACAAGATAATGTTTAATGTATAGAATAAAAAGATGCAAAAATAAAAAGGTGGAAATGAAAGCATACAATATTTACAAGACAAACAAGGAACAGAAATCAACCAAGGAAAGTGGRACAGAAAGAGAGGCTGCAAGATGTWAAAGAMGRCAAYAGGAAAAAAGAAACAAAAGTTGATAGCAAGAAAAGAGAAAAAACACTAAGAAAATATTTTTCTGAGCATCCATTAGATCTTCTCACAGGAATAGAAACCTGAGAATGATAAAAGGGGAAAAGGTGTCTGCAAAAATATTAGCAGGATATTTCTTAGAGTTATTTACAACAATTTATACATATTTTAAGCTTGTAAATTCTACTGGCAATAGCATTAGCTCTAGCAGATCTTTTGACGAAGTCAAGGATGTAAAGCTGAAGTGCACATCTATGATTAATTCCCTTTGTCTTGACTGTCTCATGTAATTTGTTATACTTTATTTTTTCAATACTTAAACTTTTAAAATAGCATTCTAGTTTATGCCAGGCGTATCAGAGTTAATTATATAAGACCATGATTTTCAATGCTAGGTACCTGATACTRGACTCCCAAGCCTATGTTATGATCTGAAATAATTAGCCTCAATTTWAGAACTAACTGGACTGAGTTTGCTTAGTTCATATTTCATAAAATTACAGAAATGTATTGGTATTTTAATGCATTAAAAAAAATTCCCACAGAATGCAAAGAATAATYTGGTTCTTTTCCCACAGGACTTTAAATCACTTGGCAATATTGTGCTATCCACACTAATTCCCAGTAGGGAAATACTATTCCATGAGAAAAACAGCAATTACATCTGACCATGTATTTTAAATGAGGGCAAAGAACAGACCAAAAAAAAAAGTGTCAGCTCAGGCTCTGTGAATTTATGTGGCATAGAAGCCTACTTTTCTCTTTCATACATGAAAAATCTGTTTGATTGCCTTAGACATTTATTGTTGCTTTTTTCTGGCTTTAAATATAATACTCTTGTTAAGATGTCATGTGAGAATCTTCATTTGTGCSATATTCTAATAATCTGTTGTCTGCAAAATAAACAAAGCAAAATGTCTAGCTATCCCTGTAGCTATAAGGATGAGAAATTATAGATGCAGAGAACCTTCAGCATTCCACAAATTCTGCAGAACTCAGGAAAAAGAATTTGGATTTACAATACCAGTTAATTCTTGTTGGCAGTGGGATTAGTTATGAGTTATATCACTGCTACTGAATCAATACCACAGCCAGAAACTCTGCTTCCTATCTTCCCCTTTTTCCCATTTGCTATTACAGTCCTTTGGAGCCCTGGGTGAAACATTTTCTGTTTTCATAGCTCAGTCTCTAATAACACATCACAACTCCAACACACACAGCCAGCCAGAAGTGGCGGTTTCTCAGCTCCAGTAAGGTGAGAATTGCATGGAGGTTAAATTACTTCTGTCCCAGAACTGACCTTCTTTGAGGTCAAGTTAAGCTCATTAAGAAGAGAGTGCTGGGAAGTTGTGCTGTAGCCCTGCCTTGCAGCTGCATCTATCACATGTAAACACATCGAATTTTTTTACTTCCAGAACTYTGCAGTTTTTCAACTAATGTCCTGCTGGTGGGTTTTATCTTGGCCAAGTTGTGATGCTGGCATCATCTAGCAAATCAGCACAGTTTAATTTAAAAAAAAAAAAAAAAGGCCTGTGATTGTGTGCAGGAGACTGAGATCCTCTCTCTGATTCTGGTTTAGGAGTTTAGGAACACAGCACTTGCATTTGTGCCATTGTTTCAGCCTTCACTCCACCCCAGGGCTGTCTCACAGTGCTCTGTTTTACAGCTAAGCACAGACAAGGCCCTGGATGCTTCTCTTCTGCACATGACAATAATAAACCCACTGGCAGASAGATGGTTAAACCTCTGTGTAATGATTCTTTTCCTTTTCATATGTAAATGTTTCCATTTTAATGAAATGGRAATACCTTACTTGCTTTACTCCAAACTAATGAATAGGGTTAGTGTCATCAGCAGCTTTTCCTTACAATTTAAGGATCAAGAGGACAAAAAAAATAAAAGAAAGAGAAACTGCTATTCATTCTGTCTCTTTGTTGAGTCAGCACCAGGATGGTTATTTTTAATAAAAAACCAGAAATATTTATGCCTAATGGACTCAGGTTTGTTGAAGCTCAAGARCTGGGATAAAAAGAAATGTCTTTTTTTTTTCTTCCATTCAGTATTTACATATAGAAAGCATCTACTTTGCATATAGTTCCTGTTATTGTCTCCAACTCAGTAAGAGTGTATACAGAACATTTACAGGAAAGAACGTTGAGGTATGAAATTGTTAATATCAAATATTATTTTAAAATATAATGTGAAGTGTTATTAGCCAAAGCAAAACTGTACTCAAGAAAGAAGGCTATCAGAAAACTGGCAAAGTGGCCTTAAATTAATATCTAATGAAAGATTACATTTTCTTTGCATSGGTWAAGGCTGTTTTAGCTTGGTGGACCTGATRCTGTGTGGGAGCTTGTGAGGCATGGGGGGTTGGTCACTTTAGCCTGTRGTCTTCAGAATTGGGTGATAATAARGTGCATCATTTATCATCCCTCAAYGCTTTCCATACTTTCTTGTGTCTTTCATCAGCACAGCCTCTGTTGTCCAATTTCTAACATTTCCCATATGCACTTCTCAGCTCTGAGTATCAGCCATATTCAAAAGATGCCAATTCTTCCACTGCACCCCTTTAAACATCCAATTTTATTTTTTTCCCATCCATATTATTAAAATGCCACCCAGGTAATCATCATCTTGCACATCACCACTGCARTCTCCTCTCCCTTCTGGGTTGCTTCCCTGTGCCTGGTGTGCCAAGTTAAGCCTTTTCCAAGTGCTTCAAGAGATTCATAATGCAGCACAGTCAAGAAACACTGGAGTTCTGTAATCCCATCCTCCACACACAAACTGCAGTACCTCAGCACTGCTCTGCTGTCAGCAATTAAGGATTTCCTAGAACAGCTTAACAGCTTGATTGASTCTCCCCAGAGATGGATCAGAGCCAGGGTAAAGATCTAATCTCAGGTGTTAGGAGTGGCAGTTACACAGAATCTTAAGYTTCCTCAAAACTTCAGAACTTCCTTGATTAAAAAAAGTGAACCTAATGTTTCCCCAGCTCTTGTCCTCATTTCATACTAGGTGAGAAATGAGTGATGCAAGAAACATTTTTACACTTAAAGCTCTCTAATATACATCAGATCATTACCATATGTTCTCAGGTTTGGGGTTTTGTTTTGGCTTTTTTCTTACAGAGTTGGYGTAGATCCAGATGAAGATCTGAAAACTAAAGCTGCGAGCCAGGTATGTCAGGCTTTTGGATACACATGTGAATTAAAAAGTGTTCAGCTGGCAGATCATGACTGCATCTGTGGAAATGAGACTTCTAGAGCAATGTTTAATTCCTCAGAATTAAAAAGGAGAATGTGAAATGTTCAATCCCAAATCAAGGTTTACGAAAATATTTTTCAGTTCCTTTTAACATGGAAGTCTAAGTACATTGTGAACTTAAAGCCTTTAAAGGGGGCTCCTGAACAATCTGCAGCTGTTGACCTGTGCCCCTCCCTTTTTTTTGTCATACATGTGTGGTGCAGTTTCAACTGCAGCACTGCCTGCAGCAGCAAGAGAAATCTGTAGAGAGTCAGTGCACAGAGACAGAACCTGTGGCACAGCAAGGTGAGTGGAACAGCAGAGAAGYCACAACACTGCTGACAGGGTGCCAGAGCAGAAAACAAACAGTGCCTAATGCTGGTCATGCCATCCCATGCACCCTTTCAGACCACACAGCTGGAACTGAAAYTTGAATCATCTAATAATGGAAATATAGAAAATAAGCTGAGGAAGATATAAGATACTTGATTCATTTGAAAATACATTAGCGATACCATTAGGTAAAATTTTAATTTATCTTGTGTACTGAGTATTCCTAATATTTACACATTTGCAYGTACCTGAAGGCACATAAGGTAGGTTTCAATTTTCATAGTAATGAGTAGAATTCAGGTCCCTAACTATCCTAATGTTTCTTTAAAAAGAAGGAAAACCAATATTATTCACASTGACCACATCCTTCATTTCACAACCCAGTCACTATTACTACAAGCTTAGCATAACCCTTCATTGCACCATGGCAAGGTTTTTTATTTTTACTGTTTTATTCTGAGTCTGAGCGGACTAAATTCACTTTCCTAAGCATCTTGGCAGGAATTCTGGCAATGCCTCTGTCCAAATTCTGAACAAGAGCAGGACACAGAACCATAGCCTGTTCTTGATTGGAGGATAGAGATACATAATTTAAGAAATTTTCTACTTTTCAGCACTCATGAATTATCAAAGATCAGGGAATGCAGGATGCAGCATAAAATCAACTGAATTAATGTTTTGCAAAAACCTGATTTCTTCACAAGTCGACAGGCATCTAATTTTCTCATTCTTTTATTAAAAATGAAAATAGTGATGTTTATTTACAACAGTAACACATCCAGTGTCCCAGCTGTGCTCTGTGAATTAACACCTATCTCTGCTGACAAAACTCAGCAATACCACCACACAGAAGGTATAAATAAATAAAACACTTTTCATGCCCTATCATGTCCAACTCAGCATTTCTTGTGGTAGTAAATTATACCCTGGAAAATAGTTTTGCTGTTCTGATTATTCTCCCCTCCTCCCTGCTCCCATGGTATTTTATTTTCATTTGTCTGACTCTTTTTTGTATTTGACATCTCAATCTTTTAGTAATTCAAACCTTTGCTGCATTCTCTGTAGCACTCACTGTTTTAACTCAGTCCCTATCATAATTATTTAATTTAAGTCAGGTTGTTTTTCCTAATCTCTCTCTCACTYCTTCCCCTGTGTTTCTCTTTTCTTTACCTTTATTTCCAAAATGATGTTTTTATTTGGTTTACCTTTCATTAGTTGTTATTTTCATCCTATTTCAGTGTCTTCACAGTGAAAGCAGTTGATTTTCCTACAYATATATCCCTGCACAAATAACATTCAGGTGCCAGTACCTCCCACTGCCACTCAAAGCTCTTGCCCAGAAGAACTTTAAACCACCTGCCAGCTCTCAGTGCTGTTAATTGAAGCTTCAGGGGAGATTGTTCCAGAAATAAGAACTAAATATCTTCAAGAATAAGATGTTTAAAAGAGAGCAAAAATTAATAGGAAAGAAACCTCTAGGCTTCTCTGTACTTGGTCAGAGCATTCAGCCAGAATGGGAAAACTCCAATGTCTGCTACAGAGATTGGAATTTAGCTCCTCTGTGACCACTCTGACTACCAGGACACCGCTACCTTGCTGTGGGAACCTCTCACTCCATGTCTGTAATCAGACCCAGATTTTTTTTGGAGCAGAATAAGCCTTAAAGACCTTCCACCTCATGGGTACTACGTTAGATGCAATACCAGCTCAGTGACTGCAAAACCTTTTCCATCCTTAACTCTTAATCTCCCTTCTTTCCTTCCTTTGCCTCCCACAAATCAATTTTCTGTGAAGAGATTTATTCAATAATTCCATGCACACAGTTATTTCTGTTTTGGGCTACCTGAACTGACATTTTTGGCAGTCAGCTGGCAGCAAATTCCAGGTCAAATTTTAAGACCTGGAAGCCAGACCTCCTTCCCTAGAAAAGGTGCAGAGCCTTTTCATGTATAATTAACATCTGCACTTCACCATGCCATGATCCATCAAAAACATATCTCAGTTTCAATTCTGTCTTGCCACTCCTTAAATTGATCATTAAATCATTATCACAGCATAAGCCTAAACAAAAGCAAGAGGCTCATATATTCATATCCCTTTAGTTATTGATGGACTATCACAGCTGAGTTCTGGAAGAAATTACATMATAAATACTAAAATTATATATATTATTGTATAGAACATAGTATGTAAAAACAAACCACTTTGCTTGCATATCACATACATTCAGAGTATAAATACCAAAAGCCAACTCTGAAAAGCATAATGCWGGATACATAATCACTAAGCAGAGTTGCAAAGCTGGTCTATTTAAAAAAGGCAAAAGCTTTATGGCAGCGAGCTTTTYAACTGAATTCTTATAAACAAAGACAGTCAATAGTATATTTCATTCAGATGGCTTATGTATCTCAAATTCTGCTATGTTAATCTCAGTTGAGAGAGAGTGAGAATATATTTTCTATGAGTGTTTCAGAAAAAATATTGTAGATATGCTGTTGATCTCAGGAAAAAACTAAATAGCCTGCAAAACACTTATGAATATCATTACCGTCAAACTAATCTGCATAGTTGATTTAACTATCCCTATTATCTTTATAAGCATAATAAGGAATTTAGTTACACTGTTCTCATCAGTTTCATCTGCCAGCTGGTTGGTGAATTTATTGCAAGTGACTAATGAGAATAATCTCCATATGGGCAGTTCCCATATGGAAGAAGAGATACGAGAAACATTGGCATTTTCACTTCCAAAAAGAAAATTGTATGGAAGAGCAAAGCACTGTCTCCCCCACTTTTACCTCTGAACTGTAGGKAAAGTGAAAAGTCCCTTTTTAAAATCATAGGATCCAAGGATATGCAAGAGCCCAAAAACATTTCCAACAACAACTCCCATCACCCCTTGACTGYTACTGTTTACACAGGAGCTGCTCTCCAGGTAACCACACAGATTCCCACTACTGCAAACGCTGATTACACAGCATGGATTGCACAGACAAGAGGAGGAAGGTGAAACACATGTCAAAGTAGAAATAAAAGAAGGTCCAGACCCGGACCAGGCCAGGGACCAGAAAACCCTTGGGGGATTATTCTCTTGTGTAGGTTTCTTTGTGCACTGCTTTCATACAGGAACAATTCACATTCCCGAATGAGGAAGCCTGTTCCCTTCAGAGGAAGTTAGATGTACAATGAGTTTGGAAAGAGGAATTTGCCAACAGCACTGTGGCTTCTGAAACCTTAATATTCAAACAAAGGACACACAGGCCATTTATAGAGCTCCCTGTGCTTCTAACAAACCATCCTCTGCATCCCATAGTTATGGTTATTTCCRTGCCTGTCCTTCTCTTCTCCATCTCTACACCCCTGTGCACTCAAGTCCTTCACTCTTCTTTATTCAGGGTTGTTCTTGTTCTGACCTAACACAGACTATCTGCAATCACACTTCCTGCTGCAATGTTTCAAACCTTTTCCCAATCTTTATCTATCATGCCAAAATGCACTATTACATGCTAAAACCTTAGAAGAGTCCCAATCCCATTCCTAATTTYACCCTGCTACTAATTCTTCCTCTAGTACTAATATGATGCCTAGAGTATGACCAAACTGGCTGTCTTTGTACAGATAACTGCTCCTAATATATTTGAAATTATGACCCTGAGGAAAAGGACTGTCCACCTCTCTATCTTAGCAACATATTACACAATGAGCTTGCAGATTGGAAAGCGTATTTTGAGCCTTGTTGATTCAACTCATGTTCCTCTCCTCTTGAAAAGAAATATAAAAAGGATTCTCCTAGTTATTAAAGTATCTCAATCCCTTTGGGAATGACATTTTGTTAGACACACACAAAMAGCATCTGATCTTGTAGGAGTAAACTGAAGTAATCCCACAATAGCAATTAAATCAAAATCTCATTTTATTGATCACAGAATAGAGTGTTTCTCAACTGCTTTAAAAATGGAATCATTAATAAAAGTAAATGCTACATTCTTCCAATAAGTGCAGCAATGAGAAATGTGCTATATGAACCAATTTTCTCCTGAGATGATTCACAGGGATGACATTTGTGTGACAACAAATCTTTTTAAATTAAAAGAAAGTGCAGTTAATTACCATTTGGTCTGACATGTATTTTTAATATTGGAATTTCATGTTWTATTTATTTTATAAAAGCACTTTTCACTTGGTTTGTTTTTCAGACTGCATCCAACTTGGATAAAAATACAACCAAAGCTGAGAGCGCGTGGCTGTTCAGAATATGGTATGGCTTTGACCACAAGTATCCTTTTCTGTTATAGGCCGTGAATGATAGTTGCTCTACAATTAGCCTTCAAAATATTTTAAAAGCAAAAATTATTATACTTGTAAAAACCAAAAGTGTAATCTATTTAAATGTGTTTAGTAAGCAGAAGAAATTTTGCAAGTCCGAGGCAGCAGAAGGTCCAGCCATGACTGAGCTATGGGGAGAGGGAACAAGTCAAGAAGMTCTGAGCTACTGTAATATATAGAAAATACATTTAATTAAATTAACCTTTTCTAATTCCTAGATTAAACTAATCCAATCATTATTTAGGTAGAGGGCAGATTCTGTGTTTGGGGAACCAGGAGGTTGGAGCCAGAAGCAACCAAGTGTCAACTGCCTGGCTGAGTATGTTGTCTGACCACATACTCAGAAAGCAATGGCTACCTAAGAGAAAAATAAGACAACACTGGTTTACCAACTCCAGAAAACAGAGTCMGCAATTGTGAAAAGCTCCCAGGACTTTCCTGAAGCTCATACTTCCTATTTGCTGGATACCTGTGCTTTTGTGCTTTTATTCACATTCCTACTGAAACATGTGTAGTAGAGATGTTGAATATGGGTGTCTGATGCTCTATTCCAGAAAGTCTGGTTTCCATGTCTTTTGCATTTTGAGAAAATATTTTAAGTGATAAAAGAACAATCTCCCCAAGCCAAGGCAGAACATACAGCCTGACACTAATGCCTGTGCAAAAACTGTAAAATCAATCATTCTAATTTATTGTCATTTTAGACTGACACCATACAGGCTTTGCCTGGCTGCCAGTGAGATCCCACAGTAACAGTCACACCCCAAACCTTTAACAGAAAAATGCAGCCAATACAAGAGAAGCCCACCTGCTGATTTCCATGGATCCTGGCTCAGGAGAGGAACAGGCAAAGCCCTGTCTCCATTATCCTATAACACATCTATTGGTCCATCACCCTGCACTACTGAGCAGAGATTAATGTTCAGGCTGCATATARCGTTTTTCTTATACCAGCTGCAGCAAAACAGAATTAAACATTTCAGCTGATAAAATGCAATTCTTTGGGAACACAGCTTCCCTGGAGAGTTCAACTGAAGTTATCTTTCAAAGAGACTTTTGATGGAAAAAAACCATCTTTTTGGTTAAAAATGAGCATATTGCCTTAATTCAACTACTCCAGCAGTTTTAAAGGCCAAAAAGCACTTAACATTAAAATGTTTCCCTTGGATAATTCTTCGAGAATTCTTATAGAAATAGTAGGTGAATGTTATATGAGATGAGAAAATATGTTTAAATGTTAATGCTGAGTACCAACATGACTGCCTTTAACCACCCCTTTTTCAGAAGAAATAGCCTGTGCCTGTGGCATATCCTAGAAACTATAACTTTCAAAGAACTGATGAAGGGAGGGGGGCAGGGGTGATTTTTCCTCTGAAGAGAAAAAAAAAGGACCAGCAAAAAATATGGAAGGCAGAAGCCAGACAGAAGCATGGGTTAAAGACATGAAAGAGAACAAGGGCAGAGCAAGAAAACAAGGGACAGAAAAAGAAGAGGGAAAGAGAAATCAATATGAAAAAGTCAGCAGCAGCACATGTAAAATGAAAAGTCTGTAGAAGGCACCAAAAGCACCACTTCTCAGAGATATCTGTGTGGTAGAGATCTTGAATATGGGTGTCTGGTGATTAGTTCCAGCAATTCTGGTTGCTATGTCCTTTGCATTTCAAGAAAATATTTTCAGGGATTTTAAAAATAATATTTTTTAAAGAACACGTTCATGTCAGTCTCACTACCAGTCAAGTCAATCTTYCTTTAGAATTCAGATGTTCAGAGATGATAATTGTGCCATTATCCTAAAATACATATTTATTACAAATAATACATCTACATTTCACTAATCCTGAAAATGTAGGCCCATATTCCTGCATGGAATGATGGTTCAACCCACTAATGCTGTGACTCACAGCTCTAAGCTTTTCTTCAGTATGACTATTTCTGAAAGACATTCTTTTCAAGAGAAAAATTATCCACCCAAACTTTCTTTCCCTGCCTAATATTATAAAGCTGTGTTGCTAAATTTAGAAGAAGAAATTGTCATGTAGCATAGTGCTTGTCCCCAGTACAAGATTGCAGAGAGGATTATGATAAAGTTTTCAAAGAAAAGATACAGAAAACTAATAATCTATCTATTCATATACTTCGAAAGCATACAAGACTCTGACATTTCTATAGTTTGACATTTGCTCTTAGGCATTAACACAAATCTACCCACTCTTCTGGCAATAACGTCTCTTATGCCTATTTATTTCACAGGAGGAAAGCAAGAGGGAGGAAAGATCAGTAAGGAAATCAAAAAGTTCCTTGCTGTCCTTGTGAATGATTCCCAATTAGTTCAGTGATCTTAGGCAATGGCAACATGCCATGCTAGGGTAGAACTATGCAAAAAAACCCTGCAATTCTGTTTGAGAATCAAATTTTATTCTTACTGTGAAAGAGACAGCAGGAGCCTGATCCAGAGCCAAATGGGTTCAATGAAGATTGTTTTCTTTCAGCAAAAGTCTCTTGGAACAAGGTATTGACACCTAGRAAAAACATATTGTTCTCTAAAACCTGGGCTAAGAAATGTTAACATTGAAATAATAAAAATGAGGAACAGATCATTTTAGTACTTAGGATTATCCTCTTGGATTTCCATCTCCATAATTTAAACAAGGAAAATGCAAAATCAAATATTTGTATCGGACAGGGGGCAATTTCTAGTGAGGCTATGTCAACTTTTGTTTTTACAGCCTACAATGCATTACACCATCTGAAGCCATAATATCATATTGAAGGCTAGTGGGAAAGCAAGGGAATAAACAAAGGAATTTTAAGAGTTTATCAGGAAAAAGAGACACCACAGATTTATAATCAGCACTATACGCATATCTTCAAACTGTTGTGTTTTTTCCAAAGCAGATGTAGGCAAGTTTAGCCAACAAATGAATAAGTAGGTGGAAATTTCATCCTGCAAGAGCAAGAACCTATGTGTGTGTGGGCAGAGCTCAGACAAATGGTGAGCAAAATTGCCCCATTCCACAGCATCTCCAAAAACRTTTTAACCCTGCTCCCAGCTAAGAGCAATTTCCTTTTAACTCTGCTCAGTCCCAACTCTCTGCTTGTTTATTCTGGCAARTATCACTTGGCTCTGCCTGCCTAGTCCTGAGACATTGTATACCTGACTAGAGCTGGAATTCCTCCTCAGGAAAACTGGYCTGGAATCCCAGTTACAATTCTAAAAAGGAAGGAAAATTAGTGTAATAAAAGTCTGTTGCAAACAACCTTCACCTAGTTTTCTAGCTACTCTAAACTCTGCAATCATTTGTGGCTTTATATGATTTTATACAAGGCTCTTCATCCACTAAGGATTCATCCTCTCCCAGAATTTATCTAATTCTTGCTTCCTCATGTGGGGATATTTTTGTTCTTCCTGGCTGTTCTATAGCATCCATCAGGAATATGGACACTTTTCACCYAGCTTCTCATGCTCCATATTGASAAGAGAAAGGAGAATTTARGATTGCTGCACTAAAACACAAAACWGCAAAAATAATGGAAAYTGAAGATGAGAAAAGGACAGCAACAATATATGCACTAAGATATTTCTGGATAGAAATGTTCACCATCTTCCTAAGGAGAAGCCTACATTGTGTTGTGGGACATGTATTTTAATAGTACACACTGAAACTTGCATTGAGAAAAAAATAGGTACTGCATAACAGGAAAACATATGCAGGATTAAAATAGAAGAAAGCAAGAAGGAAAGGAAGAGGGACAAAGACATCAAATGCATGGTAAGTTTCTTTAAATACTTTGCAAGTGTTAAATTGCAAGACAGGTTTTAGGCCCACCTGCAGCAAAGTCTAATCATTTTCTTCTTGCAAAGGGGTGAGAATTGTACATGATGTGGMCTCACAACACTAACAAGCCCAGAGCACCAAGGCTGCCTATCTCTGGTGTATGTGAGGGGCCAGAGGGAGGCAGGAGAGGTGCTGTGATTGTTGTTAGCTGCTGGAATGGCTCCTAGAACTATTGCAATGACACCCGTGATATTGCTCCAGACTACCAAAGAGCAAGGGAGCTGTGTAACTGCACAAAGCTCTGCATTTTGARTGGTTCACACACCTGATACCGGGAGAGCAGGGGCAGGAGAGCTTTCTCCTTCTTTACAGAGTACTTTYCAATCTGAGCAACTCAGTTACACTGAATAGAAACCAGCATCTGGGACAGAGTGAGACAATTCTCCATAAAGCAACTCCTAAAAGTGTTTCTGCTTAAACTGCGGTTATCCATCATTCAGGTTCATGCATTTCAGTTTGTTTTTTTTTTAAAGGTTGTTTATGTCCTTTGCACTTAGCTGAAATCAATCAGCCAAAAGGAATTGCATTATTCGTAGACTTCAAAAGTTTATCCTCCTTATCAGGACACCAATCATTTTATTTCTCCTGTGCTTTGTTATGTGGATAAAACGGACATAATGGCTGCCTGTTGAGCAAGATAAGTACTATTCTGTGCCTGTGAGAAAATGGAAAAGCTACTAAAAGCAAAAGCGCATTCTAGGGTGAGCTGACAATCAAACACAAACTCAGCATTTTGTGGTCTTTTCAATTGAATTTTCCTCCTGGGCTGACTTGTCACKTTCACATCAGAGATATCTTTGGAAGGAAAAGGCAGGTAAATGTGTATGTGCATGCAATTTTCTTATACCTGCTGGAAAACAAAAGTTTCCTAATTACCAATATTCTGATTTATTGTTCTTTTAGCGCTTCAAAATAGCACATAAGGTCCTACTTTTGGACCAGAAGCTCATTTTGCTGCACCATTTTCAAACAGAGAAAAGAATCTTATCTCTGAAACCATTCAGTCCAATCATGAACCARAGCAGCATTAGATAACACAGTTCAAGCCAATCCAGCTACCATGAAAGCATTAATAAGAATGGGCTGGGAGGAAGGTGGCCAGCATAGCACAGAAATGCCAAGAGAGCCCAATAATCAGTTTTGCAGGTATTAAAAGCAGATCATGACAGAAGCTGAGAGGAAAGCACAAAACACATGAAATGAATTATAGTGGATCTCATAAGATGAGCACAGCAAAAGCAGCTGACTGTATCAAAAGGCTTCTTCAAACTGTGCAAACTTAAGCAGTACTGARAGGGTCCCCAAAAGGTATTTTATCATTAGAAACCATTGCCTGAACTTGGTTCAAAGCTCATTCCCAAAACACATTTTCAAGCACATGATCTACAAAAACTCATTTTYCCTTTTACAGTGCAGATAATCAGTATAGCTGATTTGGTGCTATTTCCTGACCCTTCCAAGGACACAGGATTGTTGAAATTCTGCAAATTAACCTAATAAATAAACATGGCTAATAATTAACCAGAATAATAAGTGACCTCAGTTTGTCCTCCATTCACAGAAAGAAACCTAGATAARTAATTCTGAAACAATTCCACGTTGAATAAGCAAGTAAAACCATTCTCATTTGTAAAATTTCACTCATGACGATTCTTYGAAAGTCTCATTCAGATTCTTTTTTTTATAATGCAAAAATACTAAACATGACTTAAATAACAAGTATGAATGCTAAATTAAAYCTAAAGTGTTAAATGAAAAATCTCTGGTTCTTTTACAATGTTTGACATACGATCCTTTTCACACTTWCACTGCACAGAGACACAAAAAGATTATTTGTGATCATTTCTTGATAGTTCTATCACAAAATACAAATCTTTAAGCCCACCCTTCCCTCACCACAATCCTGGAATAACGGAGCTTCAGATATTCTGTTTCCACAAAATATAATCAAAAGGAAATAAAGCTTGAATTTTTATTGTCTAGATCTTTCAACCTGACACTAAGATTCAATACAGAATCTTGCAGAAAGATCTGTTTACATGTTTAAAACAAAAAGAAACAAACAGATGGAGAAAAATTAAATTAGGGAGAAAATGAAGGGACAAGGGGAAACAATAGAAAAATCAGATTCTCATAGTCTTAAATTTCCTTATTTTTTTAAACCTTTCAAAGTAGTGTGCAGCACTTTTGCCTTTAAAAGAAGAAATAGTCACATGGGAGAAACTTTATGGGGTTAAAAAAAAAAAATCAATGTTCAAAATAATGGTTAAGCAATGCAGAAATGGGAGAGCAATGCAGG